GTCCTACTTTGATTGTTTAGGAACTCAGCCTAATACAAACCACACCCTCAAAATAAATACGAGGATGAGTAAGAGTCATAGTGCTTCACAAGGATCAAAGATGCTGTCTATTTGAGTCAAATGTGCTAAAGGTAATGGAATATTTGTGAGCTTTCCATCATATTTAAAAGACCGATGTTGTTAAATATTATAATTTACTAATGGAATAGGAAACTATAACTCAAAATTCAACTATAAATTTCCTTTCATTTTGAACCTTTCCATGGAATTCCGGATTCATGCTTTAAAGGAGTGAGTCATGATTCATGGGAATTTTGTTTATTAGTTTTATAAGGGTTATATGTTTTGGTACTTCATGCTCTTCCCTTTTCATATGTTGTGATAAGAAAATAATACTTAAAAATAATATAAAATATTACACAACCAATGCTCCCACATGGAAAAAGAGATTAGAAACCACACTCGCAAAATTGGGCTCATGTTCTTTTACTGTGTAACCTGACTAACAATGATACCTTCTCATTGTAACCCAATTTTGTGCCATATAGGGGCCACCTATCCCTATTTCCTAGATAAATAATTAATGGGTTTTATATGGATTGATGGGGTTTTTCCATAGTTGTAGTACAAAATGAAATAGTTGTCATAATGAGGGCTCCATATCATTAAAGGCACTTCTGATTATTGAATCTAAACATATTATATAGAAACCTAATTGGATGCAAACAATTAATAGATTGTAGAAAAATAGCAAAGAATAATACAAAAGATTTATATGGTTAGTCACTAACGTGATAATATCTCAGGCGAAGATGATCAATAGTCTCATTATCATAACCCTAAAAAGTAGTAGACAACTTTCTCTCAAGAATTCCTTATATGAGCCACATAAACATATAAATACCTTGTAAAAGGTGTGCAAGGGGGAGCAGAAGGTGATTTAGGAGTTCAGATTTGTTTTGCTGCACCTGTTGTACTTATGTAGGCCTTTTTCCTTCTTTCTTTTTTTTTTTTTTTTTTCATGTTTATTAAGGAGACAATTAGTTGGCAGATTTTTTGGCTAAGGGGGTGATACTGAATTGTCTCTTATATTGTAATTTCCTTCTAATAAAATTAGAGAATTCCTATTAAAAAAAAAAGTCTCCAAGTCTAAATTAAAATCAAATTTACGCATATATAAAAAAACCCCAACGCAAGCCCCATATATTTCAAGTTGGAGGCTTCAGCCTCTTAACCAAGGTCAAAATAAGATATTAGGTTATACCAAATTCAAGACATAATTTTACTCAACAAAACCATCCTTTCAAATGAGATAAGATCTACTTCATTTAACAAACGGTTGTGGCCCTATCAAAATAAATAAATCCTCACCTCATAACTCATCGAAAATTGCAAGTCAAACATTGGAAAAACTTTACATTGATCATCACGACTCGAACATTATGGTTGTGAAAAAAAATGGGATTTAAAGGTCTAAAAATAGTGTACACTATAACAAATTATCTAGACGATCTATTCAACTTTAAAAATAAGTTTTCACAGATCCGCAAGATATGTACCATTTTTTGAGTTTCTAATTTTATTGTTGGTGTTAGAAATTGATTTTAGGGCCATCATAGATATTTGGTCGTTGAAAATACTCTCCATATGAGGATTTGAGGTGAGGCTTTATTTTGTTTTCATAAAGCCTAGGTCTTATAAAACCCTCATCCATGCATAAAAATTGTGAAAATATTTTGATAGAGAAAACATTAAATAATAATAATAATAATATATATATATATATATATAAGCTATCATGCCTTAATGAATCTAAACCATGCATGCCAATTATTTGAATTTGGACCATCCGATAAGGGCGTGTACTAGTGGGTCCCACTTCTAGACTTTCAGGGCTGTCTATATAGCACTTGGAAGCAACTAAGACAAAGTCCCCATAGAAATATGTAAAGTTTAGGTATATAAGAAGCCTTGGGGGATGGTATTTGGAATCATTGACCATTGAAAAAATGGGTAAAAACCTTGACAAGACAAAGCTCCAATAATTACACACAAAGTGAGGATAGAGGAGACAAAACCAATCTTATTTGCAAATCCCAATACTTTTGATTAAGGGCCTTCATTTTTTAGCACACCCAACAAGAACTTATTTGGCATTATTTTATTGTTCAGTCAATCTTTCAGGGGCACTAGCCTTAACTATGATAATGGTGGGCCCGCATGGTGGTCTCTCAAGGTTTTATTACGTTTTTATTCAAGCATGACCATGTTCCTAAGGTTTGGTCCCTAAAACTTTTGAGTTCATGCTGGTAAAAGATAGATGCTGAGCCTTAAAATAATGGGAATCAATAGATGGATTGTCTTTGAGCTAAATTGGGCATCCCTTTTATCCCCCAAAAGCCACAAAACTTAGTTTTTCCCAAGGCTTTTGGTGGACAGATGGAGGGCATTTTGATTATATTTGGAAAGCGAACCACATTGTAAAAAGGGAAAGGCAGCATGGATTGAATTTTGGTGAGAGAGACTAAAATGGAGGATTCCATCTTTGGAAACCCTAATTACATCCTTATAACTTACTATAGAATGTATTCAGAAAAGGGAAAGCTTTCTATATTTCCCCTACAACATAGAAACTCTATCTTCCCCTTACTATCCAGCCGTCTGTTTTTTATCAAGAGAGTCACTTATCGTTTGATCTTAGATTCGACGTCTCAAAATATTTTATTTTTAGTTTTTTTAATACAAATTTTTTGAACATAAAATTTGGTACGTGCCATCTTCTCATTGGGGCGCACCTATAAAAAATATTAACATTAATTTTTTGATAAAATATAATAACCAAAATACCCCTTGAATCTTTCAGGGGTATTTGGTCATCTTATTTTGTTGAAAATATTTTTTTTATATATTTTTATTTAGTGTGAGTTTAATAGAGGAATGAATGTCCAAAATTTGGTGTCAAAATAGTTTATAGAAAAAAAGTAAAAATAAAAAAGTGTAGAGACGTGACCTTGTGATTGGGACAATCTTAACCCTCCATTAAAAAATGAACGGTTGGATAAGGGGGAAGATAGAACTTCTATGCTTTACGAGGAACATACAAAGCTTTCCCTTCAAAAAAACTTAATGTAGACTGTCAAATTAGAGCGGAAGATGATTCATGTAATGATGCCCAATCTTTCACTATACTCCTATCTAGATTAGAGCTAGCAATAGATCGGGCCGGCCCTTACCCTAGCCCTTATATCACCGGCCTGGCTTGGACCTAGCTAAGGAGGCCCTAGTTGTGTCCGGACCGGGCCTAGTAGACTTAGAGAAAAAAAGAAAAAAATAAGAGAAATATGGTTATGCCTAGCCCAGCTATAGGGCCATGGTGGCCCCACCCTAGTCCATCTCTTGGGTGACATTTTGTGGCCCAAGCGCTACTTTTTTAATGTTGAGTCGATGAGGACAAGGTGGGCCAACCAGCCAACTACCGTTTTGAAGAAGAAGAGGGGCGGACAACTTATATCTTTTGTGTCACATTTTTTTGTGTATATCCCCCTTTCTTTCCTTTTCTTAGTTTTTTTTTTTTTTTTTTTTTTTTGAGTATCGAGATAAGGCACAATGTGTGCAAATTTTCAGGTCCATTACACCTGCTTTTACATAAAAAAAAAAATCAACGTGTAACGGTGATCTTACATTTCTTAATTATTCAATTTGTGCCATTGGTTATTTACTATTCTATTGGTCAGCTTTCTACACCCACAAATGTACGTTGCAATATAATATTGGAAAGTACATAATGAGACCATTTACTTTTGATACAAGCTGGTCACAATTAATCTTGACTATTGGATGTAAAATTGGATGACTACATTTATTTTATTGACAAAGTTCAAAATTCAAAAGAAATTTTTTCGAGCTTTGTGACTCACCCAAGCTATCAGATTCCACATTAGATGGTCACAAGTAACTATGAGCTCCCTATATCAAAGGTTACTGATCTCATTGTATATAATCCCATATAATATATAGGGTATTGTTCTTGTATGGCTACGGCTTTATGATATTTGGTAAATCCGCACCTCATTGCCTAGTTCAAGCAAAATCTTTATGATGACTTGCAAATCTATTTTTTGCCGTAATAGAATTTGAAGCTCCAAAGTGATACATATCAATGGACACTTGAAATGAAAGTCCAAAAAATAGGTTACAAAGGCCATAATTGTCTGGGAAAGGGGCTGAGGTCGTAGTGGTAGCATCCCTACACCCTAGTCACCATGTTGTGGCTTTCATTCCCATTGACACTACCTCACTAACACCTTCAAAAAATTAACTGCTAAACTATTTTAAAAATAGGTTTGGGCATCTCTTCCACACCGAAATTTCTCAAAAAAAAAAAAAAAGAAAAAAAAAAGAACCATAATTATCGTAGTCGAGATAATCGGCATTTTCTAGTCTTGCATACACCTTTTTCCTGCATTCTCATTATGCCTATTCCTCAATTCTTACATAGAGTCATGAAAACATTGAATTTTTTCAGATATACATGCAACTCTCAACATAAGCTTCCCTTCAATTTCAAATTTACACAACATCCAATCAAAGCCTGATCTTTCACAAGCCAACACTCTCTTGAACTCCCTGCTTATACAAATGGATGGCCCATGTAGAGCTTCCAAGCACAAACTTTCATGTGCACAATTACCAAATTGACCTTCCTCTTACCTGCTATTTTAAAACAAATACTCTTGAATATTGACTATAATGCCCATGCCTTTTCAATGTGTGAGAAGAATAATAAAAAAAAAAAAACCATGTAGAGCATACGGAATTTTGACTTAAAGTCACTCTACCTTGGAAATCGCAAGAACTTAAGAAGGAGATGAAGACATGAAGCCAAAAGAGAAGATGTACAGCTCTCCCAACTTGCATAAATTACTACCAAAATTAACAATTCTCTATTTTTTGTTATATTTTTTGTTATATTTCTCCTGAAAAGACAATTGTTCATATAATTAAGTAAAAATAAATAGTGATCATATCAGTTTATACATTGATACATCTTTTAAGCCTATCACTCTCACTAACCTCCTAACCTCTCCATAAATACCCCATAAACAAACCCTATTCTTCCTTACAAATCTTCAGCTTCAGCCAAGAAACATAATCCAACTTTTCTCTCTCCCTCTGTTTATCTCCCTTCTCTTCTTTGCCTTCAATCCCTCCCTACATCAAACACAAGAAAAATAACCAACCTCTCTCTCTCTGCATTCATGGATTTCCAAAACCATGCATATCCACCACCATCTTACTCCCCATCATCATCTTCATCATCATCAGCATCCTCATCACAAGAGAAAAGAACCAGAAGAAGAAATCAAGAACCAGGGAGGTTTCTTGGTGTGAGGAGACGGCCTTGGGGGAGATATGCAGCTGAAATAAGAGACCCATCCACTAAAGAAAGGCATTGGCTTGGAACCTTTGACACAGCTGAGGAGGCAGCCTTAGCCTATGATAGAGCAGCAAGATCAATGAAAGGGCTAAAAGCAAGAACCAATTTCATGTATTCAGATATGCCTCATGGTTCTTCTTTAACCTCCATTATATCCCCTGATGACTCAGAAAACCTCAAGAAAAGCCTTTTAATGGCTTCCATGATAACCCCTGCTAATACCCCATTTTTGAACCAGCACCAAAACCAATCCTCAGAAGCTCCTTTCTCCTTTGATTTTCTTCAATTTCAGAATCTGAATACTGGGTTTTCGTGCTCAAACCCAGCTTCTTCGGGTTCCGAAACTTCAGGGAATTTAGAACCCCAATTACCCACCTTTAAAACGGAGTCAGATGGGTTGTTGAGCTCTGTTTTGGAGAGTGGCAGTGGTGGGGTTACTTCTCAATCCATTTCCTCTGTCCAAAACGCAATGTGTGAAGAAGTGGAGTTTGGTTTGTGGGCTGATTCTTATTTTCAGAGTGGTTTTAGTGAAGAGATTGGAGTTGATTCTTCAATGACCAGTAGCCAATGCATGGGCTATAATGGTGGCTATGATTCTTTCATGAACAGTCCCTTGTTGGGGTGCATGCCTCAGGTCCCTGATACCCAGTCCTGTTCTATGCCTGCTCCTACAGAAGCCATTGACATTGGTTCTTACCTTTTCTACTAAAACACCAAGAAATAGAGGAAGAGAGCTGGATTTGTCTTCATCTTTTGAGTGAGGGTCCAAAGGGAAAATGGTTCTTTCTTTTGTTTTAAACTTTTAACAATTTGTTGTGTGCGTGTGTGTGTGTGTGTGTGTGAGAGAGAGAGAGAGAGAGAGAGAGAGAGAGAGAGAGAGAGAGTACTTCGTTGTAGTAGAGTAGAGACGTAGTAGAGAGAGGAGAACGTAGTTACGTTTCGTTTCGTTCTCGTACGTAGAGTAACGTAAGTAACGTTACGT